AAAAAGCTTTATAAATATTTGGGGAAAAAAGTCAGCCTATAGATTTAATTTCTTGCATTTGAATGTATTCAAATTTTATTACCATTGTCTGTAGATATTTAACACTAGCATTTGTGCAACAGTCCTCTTAGGCAGAGGGGGATCATAACACACAAATCTTACACACTAAAAAAAATAACTGTACCATGTTCAACAAGGCTGTTTTTGACTCAGTAAACCAAGCTTGACACAGCAGCCAATTCAAGAGAAATGATTCTAGGACATAAGTGAACTTACCGCTTAAGGGAACATTACAGATTATACTAAAATGTTACACAGACTTAAGAAAGTTTCTCATTCTCCCCTAGATGCAGACAGGTCCACCATGTAGAAACCTGTACATTACAGCACTCTGAGGTTTTCGCAAAGCATACATTATAGATACATTTTCCATACAGTGCAATTTTTATTGTGTAAGACATGAGTAATAGTGCACTTAAATCCAACAATCACATTCGAATATATCGAGTAAACTTCAAGTACCTGGTTATTGAAGAAATACATACTGTTATTATTTTTTTAACTAACTTCTGCAAGTACAAGATTTTCAGTGTAGATGGTAATATATCTATAAGGATTCTAAACAAGAGAACTCAAGGAGTATTTGTATAGAATAATCCACCTCTCCAAAAATATGTGCATTTGGAAAATTGAAGCAAATGTCTTGGGTTGACAGACACGGGCAGTGTTACACAACTTTTTATCAGAAATCACACATATAATATGTATCCTCACAGATGGTTATAGAGAACTGCTTTTGAATACAGTGAGCTCTCATCAGGAACCATTTTCAGGACAATGTAGTGTCCACACTGAGTCCTGTTATATTTCATTAATTAAGCACAAACGACAGTTCTGCACTGTGGTTCAATTATAGGACATCAGTTTTTTGTTTTGTTTTTTGAGGGGATTTAGATAACAAGTTCCGGAGAAGGCAATGGCGCCCCACTCCAGTACTCTTGCCTGGAAAACCCATGGACGGAGGAGCCTGGTGGGCTGCAGTCCATGGGGTCGCTAAGAGTCGGACACGACTGAGCAACTTCACTTTCACTTTTCACTTTCATGCACTGGAGAAGGAAATGGCAACCCACTCCAGTGTTCTTGCCTGGAGAATCACAGGGATGGGGGAGCCAGGTGGGCTGACGTCTATGGGGTCGCACAGAGTCGGACACGACTGAAGTGACTTAGTAGCAGCAGCAGCAGATAACAAGTTTAGACTTTCTAAAACCTAGCGTAGTTTCAGAAGGTCTTTTCTGGGCTTCTGGCTGAAAGGAAGGAAATGCCGTGGATGGCAGGTTGTAAAGACTGAGTGAAAGGAGAAGCGGTTTTTATTTAAGAAACCAAATGTGAGAAAACAACCGTCCCCATTACCCGGGAGTAAATACCAGTGCAGCAACCAGTCCTTTACAGCTTTCTGTTGAGATGGTGAATTACACAAAAATGCTACTTATAGTAACTTAGTGTGCATGCTCTGGGGGCGGGGGTGGAGTCTGTGTCACGTTTAAGAATAAGAAATGACTCTTCTATGTTGTCCTGAGGTATAGGATAACCTGGGTCAGACAGACTGAATGACTTCATTCTCTGGAAAATTTCAAAACTTCCAGAACAGAGGATTAACTATTCTAAATATTGCCCCTTTTTTTTTGGTCCAGGAAATACCTCTCTGATAAAGGGTGCTCGTAATAGACTTGTGTCATTTTAATTCATAAAATCTGGATGTGGGTAGATACCAAAACTGTGTCTCAGGTGAAGGTCTGATAGCAAGTGAACCTGATGCCCTAGCTAGGACTGACCATTAAAGTAGCTACTCTTGAAACCAGATAACTATGACAGTTACATCTTTGAGGGGTTTTCTTTGTAATGCAGCACAATGTTCCTCTTGTTTTTCACTTCAAGTGACAATAACTGGTCAGATCTTTTCCATGATTTTTTTTTTCCTTTAACTTAAGAAAGACTGAATCAAAAACTAAAATCTCACTTAATTTCATCCTTTAAAATGAAAGGCAGTGACTTATCTATCACTTCTACAAAATCAGGCTGAGGGGTTCAAAGAAAAGTTTTAAAATAAGATACATACAAAAATATGTATCTTAAATGATTATTGTCTTCCAAAGTTTTCCCCAAAATCACTTTAAAATCTTGTTTCAGAGGCCTAATTTTTCTTAGGTTTAAAACAAGCTATAAAATTATCTTATTTCTATTAGGTTTTATAAATTCTGCTTATTTTCTTCCCATTTAATAAAATCAAAACAAAAAATGTGAAACAATTACTGACAAGTCTTAAACCACCCAAAAAGTTTCAGCATTTTGAGATAACCAAACTGTTTCTTCTGATTAAAAAAAAAAATTATTAATTTAAATCTAAAGATCCCTGCACTGCAGCAGTCCTTTTTATTAAAATATTCTTTGTGGGGGGCTTACTTTTTGTACTCCAAAAATGGAAACCAGCCCTCACAATGAATAAATACAGAAGCTGCATAATGTACATGAACTTGATTATACGTCACATAATGCTTGAATGGGGCAATCTGCATTCTCACTAACTGAGCCACTATTCTCTCATTATGAAAGTTTTTAAAGCTGCCTTTATCAAAGACGGTTCTCCAAACTTAACCTTCAGTAAGTATCTTATTAATATATCCACTGTAATTATTCTTTTCATCCAAGGGATGAGTAATTTAATAGTATTACTAAAAACCCTCTTCAAAATTATATTGATAAAACATTTGTCTTTGTCAGAATTCTCAAGTTTGGGAAAACCTTAGTATTTACATTATTAGATGACCCCTTTGAAAGTGCATTGATACTAAAGTTTGTTTTTACGTCCTGTAAACAGAACTATAGTTTGGACAATCCCTAATTATAAATTAACACTAAAACACAAACTTGTCCAAACTGCTTATGATTGCTGTCTCAGTAAGAGAAAGAAAAGAAATGGAAACACTACGTTATCACCATACTCTGGCTCACATGTGAAATGTTCGTCAGGAAGACAGGTATGAGATGCTGGCATACAGTTTCTCCATGACCAAGCCTAAAAAAACCCTCTAATGTTTCCACCCGCAGAAACCTTATGGCCAACAGCCAACCAACATTACTGAGAGTCATTTCTTTTAAAAAAAAAAACACCACCAAAAATTCTCTAGTTTTCCTTACAGGTTGGTTAACAGAAGAAAAAGGCTCCTTCTTCAATTTTGAGGATTCATTTAAAAAGTTAGTGTTTCCTTTTTTAAAAAATTGAGAGACATTTCACACAGCACACAAATACCTATAGCAAGAAAGTACATCTTTGCTCCTTCCCTCATTAGCCTTTCTTTAGGTGAGGACTTGAATGCCCCAAGATTCTTAACTATAGTCAAGAAAACAGGCCAGGAGTAAAACTGAAATTAGAGGAGAAAAACAAATTTACCAAAAAGAAAGCTCTGACTATAGATTAGTTGTCTAGCCTTTTGCTCCGAGTCTGAGGAAACAGGGGAAAAAGATGTCTTGGCAACTCTTTTGGAGATAGAAAGTATTTGCTACTTTCTATAGCTTCTGAATGTGGCCATAGATTTTACTAGAGTTGATTTTGAAGAGCTAAAATTTTAACTCGATACGTAACTCTAAAGCTTGGTTCAGTTTTGGTGTGTTTTTACAATGAAACGGTTATATATAGATGGGATCGAAATGATATTAAAGATTACCCTCCAACTGTCCCTTTAAGGGAAAACTACAATTGAAAGTATTTGTTAAAACGAGCAGTGCCACAAAGTAGAAATGTACATGGAAAGCACCTAATCACGAACTGTTAAGAGTTGCAGGCAAAAACCAGCCTACAGCATAAGGTCATCACTGTTTCTGTAACACTGAGAACATTTCAAATTGGCTTCTGAAGTTTAAAACATACCTGCATCATGTTCATAAACTTCTATTTAAATTATATTTGTCTAATGGACAAACTAGCAGAGTCAAGATAAATTTTCAAAAGGCTCAAGGGAGTAAGAAAATCTTAACCTTAGTACTGGTAAACTTAGAATATTTAAAAACAAAACAATTAAGCACACACTTCTGTACATAAACCAGTGCAATAAGAACTTCAGACAAGGGCAGTGCATCTCTGGTTTAAGGTAACCGTATTTGTAGCTTAATTACAACAAATTAACATCTATTCTAAATGATGGTTTAATGTTACATCCAGCATTTGACACATTTAAAATTTATGACCAAAACCCTGAAGAACCAATTTGACACTACTGACACCTTATCAGTAACAAATTTCTCCTTTATTTCTAAATTGCACATACTTTTTAGTGTCTACAGTTAAAATAAATTTACTTCTTCTAAATGTAAATATCAGAAGACTTTAGCTGTTGCCTTGTAAAAATAATTTACCTTGAATAAATATTCAGCTTTTGCTTTCTTGACAAACCAGAATGAGGACATGAATTCCGCTCTTGTCAGTCCAAAACTGTGTTAAAAGAAGAAGGGCTATTTTATCTGGCAAAGATATTGGAAACAGCATGTTAAACAAAAAAGTCTTGGTTTACCAGCAATTTCAGGTTTGAAAAATATTTCTATACTTGGGAGTGCTTAAGAAGTCTGATCCTTTTTTAAACTAACAAATATTCCCTAAAGAGATTAGTCATATCCTTGACTGGTCTGGAGCACTGTTTGCAAAGCAGATGCAGAGAAAAGCTTACAATGAAATGGTGTATAACACAAACGGCATTAAATAGGTCACCTGTTTCACATAAAATGACTAGCACCTCCTTCCTGCTCCCAAAGTGAAGAGCCCCAGCAGGCCATGTGTCACATGAGTAATAGTAAGTCTCATTCTTAAAGTACTGAGGAGTCCGTTACATTAAAAGGTTCTCATCCTGAAACCCGTCCAAGGCTGAACGTGTGGCGGCGAGCTGAGGGCAGAGGAGACAGAGGTGGGCTGCCAGTCTGCACGGTCCTGCGAGGGCTGCAATGGGTAGGATTCAGGGGCTCTCCTGCACCCCATCCTCAGTCTCCAGTTCTGCCAGCTGCCTCCTAAGGAGGTTTACTTTCGCTTGTAATTGCTTGTTGTATTCTATGATGTTAACCATTTCTTCATATGCTTCATCCAAATACTTGGAGGATCTGTTCCAGCGTAAAAAAATACCTATTGAATCCACGAAAGAACAGAAGGGAAAAAGATGCACACCATGGATTAGCATTATACTTGTGGTGGCTAATACATAATCCCATGTATTATAACACTTTTCTTTTTTCACAATTCACATCTGTTTTTTTATTATACTCTAAAATGTACAGCAATCTGAGGAACTCAAAGAGTACAGTTGAATAGTGTTCAAGAAGTCACTATGTACATGCTTATTATTCAGAAAACCCCATAACATTATGAAATAGGTCAAAATGCAGTTCTCATTATATTCAGGAATACAAACTAATCATTTACAATGCCATAAACTTCACAGTTTCACAACACAAATATTCTTTTTTAAAACAATTACAGAACTTTATCCAGACCTGTAAGACCGCCTATAGTTGTGAAATCATTTTCAATGGGAAAGTGGCAGTTAGAGCAAAAGCAGAACCACACAAATTGTTTAAAAAGCCAGAACTTCAGCACTCTCTCCCCCTCTCTGTTTCTTAAGAGACCATCTGCTTTTTCCCCCACATAACATTAATTATTCTTTTATTATGGATAAAAAGACATTTTCTCCTGTACATACATATATGTTACTGATATCAGCTCAAAGTGATATCTTAAAGATATTCAAGTCAGGAGGTACAAATACTTCCAGACTGCAGCATGCATGTACCAGTAGCAACTTACCAGTACCTGTTAAGTTCACAAAGATTTTATGAGTTATTAGAACACTTTCCATAAACCAAACTGCCATGCACCCTAGAGAGTCCTTCTGTATGTGTCCGAATACTACTTCCATTCTTATCAAAGAAGAAGATAGAAACACAGACTAAAGACCGACCTTGTTGATTTTTTTTATTGAGTGTATTTTTAAAATCCTGTTCTTCAATACAGGAATTACTTACTTTTAACAGTTAACTTCGGTGTAGATATAAACAGCAAAGAGACATTTTAAGGCCACAGTGGTGTCGTTCTACAATCCATATACTTACCATGAGAATATTTTTATCCAACTTAGAATTTCATCCAGTTCTAAGTGGTGAAAGTGAAGTTGCTCAGTTGTGTCCGACTTTTTGCAACCCCATGGACTATATCCCACCAGGCTCCTCCATGCATAGGATTTTTCCAGGCAAGCATACTGGAGTGGGTTGCCATTTCCCTCTCCAGGGGATCTTCCCGACCCAGGGATCGAAGCCGGAGGGAAATCTTGTCCTTAATGGAGTAGCAGGAACGCATCCATATAAAAAAATTTTCTTCCATCACTTAGTCCCTGAACTTTCAATGAGGTTTTGTAAAGACCAGTTAAACTGCCCTTCAGGAGCCATCTGGCTCTCAAGTTTGCCTTTCCTCCCAAATAACTAGTCTCTCGTTTCTGTAATGAAACATGACAGTGGCTTTTAGGGAAACTGCCCCAGATCCCTAACGAGAAGCACAGCTGTTAGCTCTCCTGCACCTGGGACTGACTACACAGGAGGAGAAGACTGAGCTGAGGCTCAGAGCCCCGGGAGGCTCTAAGCTCGGGCCCACCTTCCCACAGTGCTAAACACGGCACACCTCGACCGCTAAGACAGAAGCGCACGCTGAGGCGGAGGAGGCAGCTAATGACAGATATCCCATGCAGGACAAGCCACGAGAGCTGACAGCCAGAGGAGTGACAGAAGTAGGCTCCATGTCAAACCCAGAAAGGAAAGCAACCTGAGACGCCCTCACACATACAATGGGCAGGCAGTTTCCACAAAAGACTTGCCCTTGAGAGTCTCACACAGGAGAACACAGTAAGATAACGGATGTGGATGGTACTTCAGTTTACCAAACAGCTGCCATTCCTGTGGGTATGCCCTTGTTTAACATAAAGATGACTAAAAATGTACTTACCACCTTCAAATTGATTAAAAAGAAATTAAATGGTATGTTATACCCTTTGTGTAATGAAAAGATAATATATTTTAGATAAGTTTTTGGTAGTTTTTAAAAAACAAGCTTCAGTATTTAAGGTATGTGAAGAACTGACTCATTGGAAAAGACCCTGATGCTGCGAAAGACTGAAGGCAGGAGGAGAAGGGCCAACAGAGGATGAGGTGGCTGGTGGCATCACCGACTCAATGGACTGAGTTTGAGCAAGCTCCAGGAGGTGGTGATGGACAGGGAAGCCTGGCCTGCTGCAGTCCATGGGGTTGCAAAGAGTTAAGACACTACTGAGTGACTGAACTGACTGCATTGAGTATTTAAGGAGATAAGCTTCAGAATCTGAAACCAATGCAGGTATAAACTCTTCTTTAGATATGAAAATCACGTCTGGATTATTATTGTTCCACTTAAACAAGACATCTGCATTACTGCCTTGATAGATGACATTATGTACATTTTATGGAAGCTTACTAAAATGGACTACTTCATTAACCCTTCAACAGCATTTAACAGAAAACTCTATCCTAAAGACTAGCTGATAAAGGGAACAGAAACCATCTCCTAAGAGCTTACAATTTATTCCTGTCCCAACTATCTATCACTTTCTTACAGAAAAAGTAATGTACTTTCCCTTACTCCCATTAGGATGACCTATCATAGACAGGAGGAAAAACAGGAAATAAGTATTGACGAAGATGTGAAGAAACGGTAACCCTTGTCCACTGCTGATGGGTTGTAAAATGGTACAGCTGTTACAGAAAACAGTATGGCTGTTCTTCAAAGCACTGAACATAGAATTTCTGTACGATTCGGCAATCCCAGCATCAGAAGCAGGCTCCTGAGGAGATATCTGCATGCCTGTGTGCCAAAAGGTAGAGGCAACCCAGGTGTCCTCTGACATATGAATGAATAAGCAAAACGTATACACACAGTGCAAAACTGCTCGGCCTTGAAAAGGAGATCCCATCACACGCTACTACATGGATAAGCCTTGAGCACAGTAATTACGTCCAGTGAAACAGCGCAGTCGCAAAAGGACAAATGCGGTATGCTTCCACTCAGGTGAGCAGCAGGAGGAAGCAGAGTGGTGGCTGCCGGGGCTGGCCGGGGGCTCTGAGCAGCTGCTGCTCAGTGGGCGCTGAGCCAAGTTACAAGAAGACAAGTTCTGGAGAGCTGTTTCCCAACAGCGTGATACACGTGACCATCTCTGTGTGCACTTAGGTATTACTTTGGTAAATTTTGTGTTTTTATCACAATAAAAAGAAGTAATGTACCTTCTTATCTTGAGAAAATATCTGATATAAACAGCAGTATCCATGTACTCGTGTACCCACAGGCAGTCAAGAGAACATCTCAGACCATCAACAAAGGGTTTGCAAAGGATGCATGACTTACCCTCCCACAGCTGAAGACTCTGTGGAGCAACAGAAGGCCAGATGACAAGATTGTTGGCTTCAAAGAGAGGGTTGGTGAACTTACTCAGTTCACTGGGCCGGTTGACCCAGGACCACAGAGACATCGTTTTCTGCTGCAGCTTCAACTTGCATCTGATCAAGAAAGGAAACTGCAGTTAAACCGATTAATTCATGACAACCACTATTAAATGGTCCTTCTAATAGGACCATTTCTTTTCTCTGTACATTGGAAGGCAGAACACAAGATTTTTACCAGAGAAACAAAATGTTGTCAAACTGAAATATTTGTCAGCATTTTTAACTGTCAACAATTACCTAAATTGAAGAAACAGAAAATCTCAGCAGACCTATAACAAGTAAATAAATCTGATTCCATATTGGATCTGTTTCTTTTACTTTAATTTTTGTATTCTAGTCCTTTTGCTATAAGTTTTATCACTAAAAGGATGCTGCTTAGAGCTTGAGGTATACATAATGGCCCATTTCTGGGAACCCTGCCTCCATGTCTGAATGCTAAGCTAAAATATATTTGTTTCTCATAGGAAACATCCTTACCAGGCCCACTGATGAATGGCTGCAGGAAAGAAGTTAACATATCCCCTCCCAAATCCGGCTGGAACCAGGAAACATTTCAAACAACTTACTTTTTTTAACTTTACCTCCTTAGCTCCTCCCCTTCTTTGTTTTATAAAAGTACCTAGCATCCAAACCCAGGCAAGACACTTCTTCGGGACACTAATACACCATCTTCCTGATCTGTTGGCTTTCCTAATAAAGTTGTTATTCTTTGCCCTGACAACTTGTCTCAATTTATTGGCCTGTGGTGTGACAAGCAGTATAGTAAGACATTTCAACTTGAACAAGTTAATCCTATCTCAACTCCATACTATCACCAAAGAAAACACTCAGCAAATACCCTTGGGATACAGAGCAGTATAAATTATAAACACAGCAATTAGTCAAACTGATTATGTGAATCCTGTGGCTGCAGTTAACTATAGCCAAAACACAATGAGAAAACTATGGTGACAGAATTTTCTAGAGCAAATAGTTCTAAATTTTTCCCTACAAGGATCTATAAGAAAATCTAATGTTGAAATATTTGCCAATTCAGCTTTAAAGTTAAAAAATAAAATAAAAATGTATTGCTTGAATTTTCAACTGGTAAAGATTCAGTGATTCCATTCCTTTGTGAAGACTGTTAATTGTTTACATTTATTATTCAACTACACGATGCCAGCTACCAGTCAAGAGACAAATCCTGTCTCTCACCCAGAGGAAGCCCTTGGATTGTACCCAAATGAGAAGATGACCAGTTAAGCATCTTTTAATGATCATTCTGATATGAATCTTCTAATCAAACCTATACACTTGATGGCTTCTGGGTGATGAAGTGAGACTGGCTCTCTGGGCCTGAGGACAGTTTCTTGGTGTGAGAGACACAATTGAGAACAGGAGCAGGAAGGCCTGGTGACCAACTGGCTGGGTGTCCCTGGACAGTCATTAACTTCTCTGGATATTACCTTTCTACTCTGTAAAACTGCATGGAAGGTAGAATTAGATTATACGTTTAAGCTTCTTACAGGTGTCAGGTACTGTTCTTATAAAGGGAAAGTAACATTTTAATGGTTGCTTAATTTACTCAAAGCTTTTTAGTCAGTATATGTACTCATTTTAATCTAACAGAACAAAATCTAGGATATGCTCTCATCTAGCATGTGACAGGCTCATAATAAACATGTAGCATCTGGACTCATACAGAAGCACTCTCAGTAACACTAATGGTAACCACCAACATCTTTTAAATATTGATAACGTTAACATAGAAGCAAATCCTCATCTCTTTTAGGAAATAACCAAAACAACTGAAAATGGCCCCCGCATGAGCAGTGTACCCACCTTTCACTTTCATTGTTGCCCAGAAATGTTCCAAACTGTGAGGCATAAGCATGCTCAAAGAGCATGATGAGGAAATTCTCATTAAATTCAAAAGAACAAGGGAACTGACGAAGTATCTGCCACACACAGTCCAAGAAGAGAAGAAACACGGGTGACTCCCACTTCTGCTTGCTATTGCAGTAGGCTGACTGTGCGCAGCGCTGCTGGAACGGGTGACCAGCCTAAGAGAAAAGGTGGAAACGCGGCAGTCATATCCTAGTGAGACCACATTATGGCACGTTATTAACAATTTCACACAGTTGCAACAAAACTACTACATAGAACATCATATCATTTGGGTGACTGATCTTTAGTGATTTCTTAGTTTAAGACAATCTTCAACTAAGGAAAAAGACAAGATTTCCAAATATCGGGCTGACCAAAAAGTTTGGAAAAACTTGAACTTATTGGCCATCCCAGAACTTAACAAAGCTACACAGTTAGCCATAAGATCTGTGGTTGTTCTTGGAATATCATTTCCTTCTCCAGGGGATCAAACCTGGGTCTCCTGCATTGTAGGCAGATGCTTTACCATCTGTACCACCAGGGAAGTCCAGTAATAATAAACATAATATAAATCTTACTAGGTTGGTGAAATCTGGAGCAAAGTGAGAGAACGTTTTAAGTTCTGCAGGTACAAAACAAAGGTCAGCTCTCCCCTTCTATCCAGCCAGAGTGCTATAGCCTGGAGTAAGCTCCATAAGCCTCACCACTACATGGAGATAAATATGGGGTTCTCATAGACAGATTTCATCAGGTAACTCCTGATATTAATAAGGCTTCAGAAAACTAAGATCATGGCATCTGGTCCCATCACTTCATGGTAAATAGATGGGGAAACAGTGGAAACTGTGACATACTTTATTTTGGGGGGCTCAAAAATTACTCCAGATGGTGACTGCAGCCATGAAATTAAAAGATGCTTGCTCTTTGGAAGAAAAGTTATAACCAACCTAGACAGCTTGACAAAAAGCAGAGACATTACTTTGCCAACAAAGGTCCATCTAGTCAAAGCTATGGTTTTCTCAGTAGTCATGTATGTCAAAGAACTGATGCTTTTAAACTGTGGTGTTGGAGAAGACTCTTGAGAGTTCCTTGGACTGCAAGGAGATCCAACCAGTCCATCCTAAAGGAAATCAGTCCTGAATATTCATTGAAAGAACTGATGTTGAAGGTGGAACTCCAATAATTTGGTTCCCTGATGCAAAGAACTGACTCATTTGAAAAGACCCTGATGCTGGGAAAGATTGAAGGCAGGAGGAGAAGGGGATGACAGAGGCTGAGATGGTTGGATGGCATCACCGACTCAATGGACATGAGTTTGAGTAAAGTCCGGCAATTGGCAATGGACAGGGAGGCCTGGGGTGCTGCAGTCCATGGGGTCACGAGAGTCAGACACGAATGAGCGACTGAACTGAACATATGACAAGGAGTCGCTGTCGTGAAGACATCTGCAGGAATACTGCTACATTAGAGACACGCTCTCCTTAGTTTCCTTCTCCTCGCCAGAAGAGCTGAAGAGTCTGCCACCTACTGACCAAAGGGAAGTTTCAAATCATTTGGCTCTCCGGCCTACCCAGAACCTGAGTACTGACGTTATCCCCACAATCACATCCTTCTCGGTATTTCACACACTTGTTTTATCTTTGGATCTTTAATGGGCAACCCACTCCAGTATTCTTTCCTGGGAAATCCTGTAGATAGAGAAGCCTGGCAAGTGGGCTACAGTCCATGGGATCACAGAGTCGGACACGGCTGAGCACACACACAAATCATACACATTTGTTTGCTATGCTCACAAGGAATGTAGCTGTATAAGATCACCAAATACTTAGGATAGTCCGACTGAGAGATAAAGGACCACTGTCAGAGTGGGTAGATGTGGTAAACATAACAGCATTAACACATAATAAACAAGAATTCTAACTGGAAGGGCTAGAAGAGAGAGATTTCTACTTTCAAGTTATATCTAAACATTTGCTTTCAATCACAATTATATACTAAGTGACACCGTGCACAAACATTTGAATTAACCTCTAGCTTGGAGGATTTCCATCTATTTTATGAGACCTTTATCTTAGCTGCCCTTCAGCATTTCATAGGCCAGCACTGTGCTATGTCCAAGGAGTAAACAGCTGAACTTGGCAAGGGTCTCTGAACTCAAAGAAGTCACTATATTTGGGTCTAGTTCGGGAAACAAAGTGTGACAAAAATGGGATCAATTTTATCTGTGGAGGAAGTTAAGGTCCCAGAGACTTCATGAAAGCGACATGAGCTGGATCTTACAGGATGAGAAGGACTTCAGCCTGGCTGGGGAAGAAGTCAGGATGGAGCCAAGTGAGAAGACAAAGCGCTGAAGTATGCGCTTCCTACTTACAAGTCCCCACTCCTCCTCACAGGCTCGTTTGTGTCTTTTACCTCTGACAAGACTAAGCTCTGTGAGACAAGACCGTGCTTTACACTCTGTGTTTCCTTGTAGGTAACAACAGCCAACTAACAAGCGCTTGTTAGGGGAATAAAGTGCCAAATGAACAAGACGAGCAAAGAGGGAGACAAAAATGGAGAGGCAGTAAAGACCGCATTTACTAAGAGGAAAATAGATGAACTGTCCCCCAGAAAAGTAAACATCTGAATCAATCAAAATTTCATATATCCATTCCCACAAACCAGGACCAAACATCAATTATGAGCAGTTAGCTTTTCTCACCTGCAGCCACTCTCTTTCTATTAAGGCCTCAAAGCCACGGATGGTCCTGCTTCTTGGTTCCAAGATAATCTGGGCCAGGGAGGTAACCTGGAGTGTGGAATCAGTTCCTTCTGTTCCATGGATCAGTATGGATGCTCCTTCCCTGTAAGGAAAATCCAGAGAACAAATCGGACACTCCCAACACTGTCAACTGACTGTGAGTAACAAACATTTCTTGAGGGTAACAGTTGAAAGCCTTTGTACTCTGCTCTGTCTGGCATCAGATCTAAAGAAGCAACATGAAGAGCTTCCCTTGGGGAAAACACGGAAGTATGGGAAGTCCCAGATCTCGTAGGACAAGAACTCTCTGAGACTTCTTCTCATTATTTTTCAGTTTAAGAAAATAGAAATTGTTAGATTCACAACTTAAGGACTTGTATAGAAAAAAATAGGTCGTTGAGTACTTAAAAAATCTGTCATGGATGACATGTGTATGTACACGGTTCACATCAATTTAACACCATTAACAATTAAATGCCAGCCTCTTCACACACACTTCACAGAGGCTGAATGGCACTATCCTATAAAATAACGTGGCCGTAAGGTGGGCTTCCCGGGTGGTTCGGTGGTAAAAATCTGCCTGCCAAGGCAGGAGGTGCAGGTTCGATCCTTGGGTCGGGAAGATCTCCTGAAGAAGGGAATGGCGACCCACCCCAGTATTCTTGTCTGGGAAATCCCACGGACAGAGGACTCTGGCATGCTACAGTCCATGGGGTTGCAAAGGATTGGACGTGACTTTAGCGACTAAACAACAACGACGAACATAAGTTACAGACACAAAGGGTAACCCAATATGTAAGCACAGGTCTGGAAGGAAGCAAGTCTAGTTGGCAGGAGCTCCCCACTCCAGAACCCTGATACTCATTTACCTGTCAAGACACTGCGCAGCCAGACAGGCAGTTGTCAGAATCTCTTTGATGTGAGTCAGCCAGTTGGAGGCCTCCAGTTTACTGAGCCATCGGTCCATGTTTTGTGTTTGGTCATTACAAGATTCCACGAGTTTGATTAAGCTCTCCTGAAGAATGTGATACCTTTGAGAGATCAGAAAAAGTAAGTAAGAAGAAAAAAAGATAACAGAAGATAGAACCATGATGGAAGAAACCAAATAAAATACTCAGCCTCAAATATATCCAAGAGCAAGACCAGCTCAAAATACTCTAAAAACATTTACCTTGCTATGTAATAACTTATAGGGTTACAGATTGTAAAACTAATATTTAAAATTCTCTGACTGGGGAGAGGGTCAGAGTCCTGTACTTTGTGACCGGTTACAGACAGTGCCCCTGATGTCTGCACCCTACTCCCACGGGCTCACTCTGAACACCTATACTGTTGGCAGAGAACCCAAGGTCAGCTCAGACCGCATTATTTCATTACTTCCAACTCCCACCCCCTCACCCTCCCAGAAGCAATTAAAAACCATTAACTGCAAGCATAAATGAGATGATACAGGTGGAGGGAACAAGGTGTGGAAGTTAAGTGGGTATGGGGGAAATTAAATGTCCAAGTATTTTTGACTTAAGAAAATGTAGTTGTCTGTAGCATCTCTTTTCAGTGTTTGGTGACCGCTGATCTAAAGCAAAGGAGATCTCATGGTGATGAAATTTCAGAGCTAAGAGAGAAAAAAATGCTATTTGATTAAAACTCACTTGGGACCATCTACCATGAGTTTTCTGCTTATCTTACAAAACATGAGACACTCAGCCAATTTTTGACTCGAACTAATATGAAGGTTCCTTTGAAAACCTGTGATCTTCCAATAGCTAAGGTCTTACCCACTCTAATTAGCTTCAAATAAGAGTCCATTACTGTCTCCTGAATCTTTTACCTCTCAATGGACTTGTGAATCCGCCTCCACTGGGGATAATGAGCTTCTTGCTCAAAGCCACCTCCTTTGGCTCTAGCCTGCTGAGCTACATTTAGAGGTCGAGTATCAATGATGTAGCCACGCTTTCCTGCCCTGAGGGTAGCATTTATCAGTTTCTCATCTTCTTTGCACCGTCTCCCATTTGTGCCAGTGAGTGGCTGACCACTTCGCATAATAACCTACAAGGACAACAGAGTCTAAAATTTAGTAGTAGCTGCTTTGAATGTTTCTGGAAAACAGAAATGAATTAAGCTAAATTAAAAATGTCTCAAAAAACAATTGTGTGTCATTTCAGAGATGAATTCGATCCTGAAACAAAGAAATATTTCTATGTATTTAACAACAGTTTAAAAATAGTAAAACAAAAATAAGACTTAGAATTCTTACATGATTTTTCTTCCCGCTGTCTCAAAATACTTTTACATAATATAGTTTCTCTTTAAGATCAAATATTATAGCTCATTTAATCAGTGAATTAATCATCCAGTAGATCCAGGCCTGCAATTAAGACAATAATAATGGCCTAGATACCAGGAAACTTTTGCTTCAGCTATGTCAACTTAGGGTTGGCAGATTTTATCAAGAATTATAAAGAGAAAAGGAACCAGTGGTAAAATTAAAAAGGTTATACACTATTATTCTTGCTTTGGGAATCATTTTCAATGTCTTGAAAGCTACTTATTATCTATTCTTTATTCTCCAGTGGCTCTCTTTCAGTATTCCAGGACTTAACCACTCATCTCCAAAGACCAACAACTATATACTGGGTTGGTCAGAAAGTTCCTTTGGGTTTTTCCTTAAGATCTTACTTATTTGATACTTTTCTCAAGAAAGCAACATCTATTATACTGATCTCTTCCCTGGTGAATGGTCTGGAATTATTTTAATCTCATCCCATAATATATACTGTTATCTTAACTACTTTGAAATTTAACATAATCAAGGAAGGTCATCCAGAATGGCGAACCCTCAGACTGTATTTACCATGTAATTGAACAATAACATATTTTGTATGAGTTGTTAAAATGCTTTATGGTGAACCCTAGTGAAGAGAAATACTTCTCAGCAAGCAAGGTAGGTGACCTAATTTTTAAAAATCTCTTTATCCTAAATATCTACAATTCAGGGGAAAAAGGAAAATAGCTATAACTTATTCACTAATTTACTACTGGATGCAAAATGAGAAGCAGAGTTTACTGACTGAGAGAAAACATGAGGAGAAAAATAAATTTAGAAAATATTTAGGAAATGAATATACAATGAACACCTAACTATTCAATGCCTGACTCCTGTATTTACTAAAGTTATGACTAATGATATGTGTCACTCGTCTCCCTTTTGAAAATAAAAATGTCTGCTCAATTTACCTTACCCAGGGAAATCTGGTGAGAATAATTAAAGTATCATAGGGACTCCCCTGGTAGTCCAGTGGCTAGGACTCTTGAGCGTCCACTGCACAGGGTGCAGATTCAATCCCTGGTTGGGAGAACAGAGACCCCACGTGCCGCAAGGCACAGCCAGGGGTGTGGAACAAACGTGTCATACCATTATTCCAGTGAGAGAAATTTATTTTCTACCAAAGAGTGTCATTTTCAGTATCAGATAACATTAGTTCCCTGTGTCCTGAGTCCTGAAGATAAACCTGCCTGGGCTTTTCTAAGGTTAAGCGGCATTATGGAAAGAATTCAGTTTTATCCTGATCACAGAAAACATTCTACTCCGGATTCCCGAAAGTTTAAACAAAAGTAAAATTCCTGGCAGGAGAGACTAATCATTTCAATGAACAAGTACACAGAAAAGGTGAACAGTTCTAGGAATCTCAAACCAAATCTTCCAGTCGATCATGGAGCAGTGTTTACTTACCATTCCATTCTTTTTATGATAGTAACTGAGAACTGGGAAGCGGCCTCCATGGCGAAATGTGGCTACCTTCCGAAGTGCATCATCGTCGATGACTTTGGGCACTGTGACAGCTGGTGGGTAAGAGGGGCACACAGCAAATTCCTGATTGACATAGCTTAGCCTCCATTCACTGATCTGAAAGACACAAAATACTTTAAAGCTAAGCAGGTATCTCAATCTCACAAAGTAATCTAAAAACTTTTATTAAAGGAGCTTAGAGATTCATTTTCATACAATGAAGACACCATCTCACAGTTTAATAGGAGGACACCTAGCCCTTCCTTAAATACTTTCAGAAAACGCAAGCTTCATTCTTCAGAGCCAGCTTCTTACAGTGCTAGGTATCACTAGCTCCTAAAAAGTTCTTCGATCACTAGCTCCTAAAACGATCTTCCTCATGTTGAGCAACATTTATTGTTCTGTAACTTCCTCGATTTTTTTTTTAACCACGATTTCAGTACAAGTTCCCTATTTCACAAGGCAGCCAATGGAATGTATGAAAGATAGCTGATTCTCCTTTAGTTTTCTATTATCCAAATTAAATATATTAATTATATTCATGAACATCATCTCATTCATTCTTGTCTGGGTACCAATGGTACCCTTAAAGTATAGCAACAGGAACTACAGCAACTAAAGCAACAACTCCAGATAATGCTTACCCGGAACAGAATAGTGCTACTATCTACATCAAATCCCTTGCTCATTTCTGCTGTTTAACAAAGGAGAAAAAAATGAGGAAAGACTGTTAACATCGTTCTTCAAGCAATAATAGCTTAATACTAAGAAAGATTATACTTATGAGTCAGTGAAATAACTTCAAACTCAGCAAGCTAAGGATCAAAAATACACAATATAAAACTATCAAATGACAAGTTATTTCTAACATGAAAAATGAAAACCACTTAAAAACTGTAAACAGCTTTTGTGTATGAAAATTTTGATATTTCCTGTACATCAGAGTTGGCCTAACATACTGGCCACGGGCTGTAGCACCAGGAGGATGAGCCAAAGCCTGTTTAATATGCCGTGCTCCTGGTCCTGCTCAGCTGTGTCTGGCTCTCTGCAGCCCTGTGGACTACTGCCGGCCAAGGCCCTCTGTCCACGGAACGGAGGAACCTGTCAAGAGTGGGCGCTTCCTACTCCAGAGGATCCTTCCAACCCTGGGATTGAACTTGAGTCTTCTATGTCTCCTGCACTGCAGGTGGATTCTTTTCCGCTGAGTCACTGAGGAAGCCCCTTGATATACTGTAAATGTATCTGAAAAAACCTTTTACAAGATGCAGTATCATTTTTAATTAAATTTTTTCACTGTTCAAACTTATGCACATTATTAATTTAAAAGATACTTTCTAAAAGATTCAATTATTATTTTTTTTAAAAAGAAGTATCCCTAGTTTCTAGAAAGTTCTTCCTCATATTGAGGAAAATTTATTGCTCAGTAACTTCCTCTATTTTTTTTTAACCATGATTTCAGTACAAGTTCCCTATTTCATACAGCAGCCTATGGAATATATGAAAGACAGCTGATTCTCCTTTAGTTTTCTATTATCCAAATTAAATTTATTAATTATTCTCATTCACTCTTGTCTGGGTATCATTTACTTTATTAATGGTACTCTTAAAGTATAGCAACAGAAGACTGCAACTCCAGATAATACTTAACCAGAACAGAATAATGCCACTATCTCCATCAAATCCCTTGCTCATTTCTGTTATTTAAAAAAGGAGAAAAAACGAGGAAAGACTGTTAACATCATTCTTAAAGCAATAACAGCTTAATACTAAGAAAATATTCTGCTAATCTATCATCTAAGTCTCCTTCCCCAGAGTAACTGTTTTCAACTCTTAGATTTTTATTAATTTTGAGTGTTTTTTACTATTAGGGATTACTTACTGGTTTCCTACTCTAGAGAAGGCTATGGTTCTTCACTGACCTGCAATACCACTTGTGTCAAATATTCTGTTAAGTTTCCACACACGGTGGGGGTCTGTATTCTGTCCCACTGGTCTAGCTGCAGTGAGTCTCTGGCTTTTAGAATAAGCTTGGCATTTAGTAGGCCAAGTCTCCTATATCCTCTTCCCTCCTCCTCGTTCTTCAAGAGAATCTTGGTTTCCCTTGACCCTATGCCCCTTTAATGTAACTTTTTATCAAATTCCATGTAAAATCCCACTGGGCTAGATGGCACTGACTGTATAGACTGATTTAGAAACAATGACATCTTTATAATATCTAATTTCCTTGTCTATGGGCATAGTATTCCTCCACTTTTAAATTTTTCTTAATTTTTTTCAATAAAGGTATAAAATTCTCTCAATAAACACCTTGCATATCTTTCCCTAGGAACCTTATATTTTTAATGCATTTTAGTTGCATGTCTTCAAATTTGTGTATGGTGTAGAGAAATGCATACAATCTCAAGATTCTTTCAGTTTCCCATGTACAGAAACATATAATCAACAACTAATAGCAATTTTGTTTCTTTCATTTCAATGCTTATACCTTTTATTTTCCCTTCTTGACTTCCTCAGCTAGGCGTAGTGATGGTGGGCAAATCTCTGTCTCACTCTTGAACTTAGAGGGAATAATGAAAGATTTGCTTTTTGTATGTTTTTACTTTTGTAGTTACCCTTTATTAGATTAAATAAATTCCCTTCAAATTCAAATCTGCTAAGAGCTTTTATCATGAACAGATGCTTAATTTAGTCAAACTGTTTTTTCTCTTCTAATTTTGACTTACCATATATGTAATTTATCTTTTCTCTTTGGTTAATTTTGTGATATCTCTTTGCCTTACTGTTTAACAGTAGAACTCAATATGTCTTAAGATTTCCTTTTCATTATCCCATGTGGTGTTTGCTGGGATACCTTAATCTAAGGCTTTGTGACTTTCTGATTTTGAAGATGGTAGTCTCCACTATCATCTATTTCAATATTGCCTTTCTTAACAACTTCTCTATTATCTTCTTGAATTTCCATTTACTAAATATTAAGCCTTCTCCCTTTACCAACCATGCATACATCTAACTTCTCTATCATTTTTTTCCATCTTCCTTCTTTCTCTGTCCTGTTTGAGTATCTATATTCCAGATCACTAGATTCTCATTTTTAGTTATCCCTAATCAGCTACTTAACCTTTACATCAAATTATTCTTTTCTTTTCTTTTAAATCAACTTTACTGAGATTTTACTATTTATATGAAAAAAAAAAAACCTAGATTCACTTTGAGTACACAATTTCATGACTCTTGATAGCTGTACCCACCCATAAAACACCACCACAATCACGATAAACATTTCAATCATCGTTCACAAAAATTCCTAGTACATTTTTACAGCCTATACCTCTCCATCCACACCTGATACTAGGAATCACCAATCTGCTTTCATTCACTTTTAGTGTTATACCTAGAAATCTTTGCCTAGTCAGGGGTCATAAAGATTTTCTCTTGTATTTTCTTCAAGAAGTTTTACACCTTTAGCTCTTATGTGTTGGTCTATATTTTTAGTTATTTTTTGTGAAATAAAGGTTTAGATCTATCTTTTTTACATCCAATTGTTCCAATGCCATTAGTTGAAAAAACTATCCTTTATGTAGAGAACTGTCTAAGCACCTTTGGCAAAAACTGATCACAGATCCAAGAGTTCTTTTTTACACCTTCTATTCTGTTCCATGTATCACTATATCTATCCTTATGCCAATAAACCACATTTTCTTGATTACTGCAGCCTGATAGTTAGTTTTGTAAGTAATTAAGATTTTTTTCCCCCAAAGCTGTTGTGGCTATTCTAGTAACTTTGCAGTTCCATAAAAATTTCAGGATAATTTTGACAATTTCCACAAAGACACCTACTGGAATTTTGATAGGAAGTTGCACTGAATCAATAAATCAGCTTGGAGAGAATTAGCAAACTACACTTACTGAGAGATCAGCAAACTACACTCCACAACCCGAATCCAGTCCCCTGCTTGTATTGTAAATGCAGGCATACCTTGGAAACAGTGCAGGCTTTGTTCCTGACCACTGCAATGAAGTAAATAGTTCCCTAAGTGAGTCACACTTTTTTTGCTTTCCCAGTGCCTATATAAGTTATGTTTACACTATACTATAGTTTATTAAGTTTGCAACAGCATTATGTCTTTAAAAATTAAAATGTACCTATCTTAATTTTAAATATTTTATTGCTAAAAAATGCTAACCGTTATCTGAGCCTTTAGTGAGTCGTAATCTTTCTGCTGGTGAAGGATTCAAAATATTGAGAATTACCACAACACAAGAGAGATATGAAGTGACCAAGAGCTGTTGGAAAACATGACACTTAAAGACTTGCTCAACATAGGATTGCCACAAACATTCAATCTGTGAACAAAATGCAATATCTAGGAAATACAATAAGATGCAACAAAATAATTCAGGTATTCCTATAAAATACCTTTGGAACATAGCACCACTCATTCACTGATGTATTATGTTTTCATGATACAAAAGAGTGGAGTAACTGCAACAAAGGCTTCATGCCCCACAAAGCCTAATGTATTTACTGCTGGGTCCCTTACATAACTCAGTCCACTGTTAACCATATTGTCTTTCAATCCATGAACATGTATCTCCATTTATTTAGATGTTCTTTAACTTCTGTCAGCACTGTTTTGTGTTTCTCAATGTACAGACCCTGCCCTTTTGTTAATTTTCTCACTAAGTACTCTATTCACTTTAAGATGGTGCCGTGCGGTGCTGAGTCGCTCAGTCGTGTCACTAATTAGTTTCTGAACACTTACACCAAGCAATCTTGCTAAACTTACTAGTTCTGGTTATTTTATTGATTTCTGCTCTTATTTTTTTTATTATTTCATTCTTTCAAGTTACTTTGCTCCTTTTTTCCCCTAGTTTCTTAAGCTGGAGCTTAAGTTGGTTAATTTATTAGACCTTTTTTCCTATTTCACATAACTGCTTTAACATCGTGCCTCTCTAAACACTACTTTAGCTGTAGTCTACAAATTCTAATGTTATCATTCAGCTAAAAATATTTCCTAATTTCCATTCTGATTTACAGACTACAAGTATTTCCTTTAATCTAGAAATACTCCAGGTATTCCTCAATACCTTGTGTGTTAGTCACTTAGTTGTGTCCG